TTTGAGAATGGATTTATTCCATTAATTTCGTGAAGTTAAAAGGAATTAGCTACTCCTTTTGATAGAATCCCTAGGACGTTAAATGACAAATTTAAACATCGAGGGAAATGAACTAATGTCACTTTGACAACAAATAGGGATGGGAACCCAACTTGTGTGATTGGAGATCCCATGAAGTAAGTTCAAATGGGAACACTTTCTATGAACACCATAGAAAGTGTTCATTTCTATGGTGTGGAAGGCTAGACTGCATTTGTTAGTGAGGATGAGGTAATGCTCTTAATGATTATCATAGCCCTTATGGGTGGTGTGTTAAGTGTGGGACACACTTGATGAGATCACCTATATGAGTGTGAAGTGGGGCCGCCTCCATGAAGCATTGACAACCCTTCTAGAGCACTCAAGAAAATCAGGCACGCGCACGGCCAAAAGGCGCACCACGGCGTTAACGTGAGGAATCGTGGGGGGTGAGACATGATCATTAAGACCCTAATCTACCATAGTAGCTTCTTGGTTCATAGAAACTATATGTTTCACCAAAAGCTCGGTTTATAAAGACTTAATCGTCTCGGTTTGGTTCATAGTCTACGAACACCAGACTTAAAGTCTCACTCCCGTTAATCCAGCAGATTTTAAAATGGTTTTTTGACTTTAAATGTTTATTTGAAATATGTGGGGGATTGTTGGAAAATTTGACTATTTCAAATAAACAAAATTATTTTGGACATATGTTTTCTCTACTAAGTAACGGAAAGGTGATTAATATTTAATTGGGTGGAGCTAAAGTAAATATTTAAACGGATGATTTATACTTGGTTGGCAGCTTGATACGTTACCTTGGCTCACCATGATTTATTCTCATTTATTAGGATAATCTCAACAGCCTTTTTTATGTACTACGTATATATATAATGCTCGTATATATATATATATATATATATAATGCTCCAATGCAGAGAAGGAAGAAGAAGAAAAACTATAATCACACTTACCTTCTCCCATAAACATTCCTTGAGTAAAGACACGGGCATATAGTTCACGAATGAAGCTTTTTACATGCAATCATAAACATTCTTTGAGAAAAGACACGGGCATATAGTTCACGAATGAAGCTTTTTACATGCAATCACCTAAACGCTGCTGGGTTACGTAATTGTATTATATCCTCGTAGTTCTGTGTCCGGCGATCCGCCGAAGGGCTCGTTATATCCTGGGGAAAGATTTTCGGGCACCGAAAATACTTTCTTGAAGACAGCGTTTACGCGTCTCGAGCCATGGTGTTTCTTGTTCTTTTATTTGGAGGTACTTTTATGAACTCATTACAATGAGTGTGCGGAACAGTGACAAAAGACTAATTGCAAATGACAAGTAATGAACCAGCTTCCGGAGGAGAGCAGAAGATGGCGTCAACCGGGATCGGACTTGCCGTTGAAAGTTACCGGAGACGAAGATAGAAGAAGCAGTTTGATGGAAGACGACAGCCAGTCCTTGTGATGAGAATAATTCCCCAACAAGAAGTACTCCGTATTAGACTTAGCGAGATTATATAGGGCTAAAACCGTAAAATTAATACATTCGGATTATTATATTTTGCTTTTTGTGGATAAAAATTAGGACATGTTTCATAACCCTTGTTTCTAATTTATTAATCTTATCTACCAATTTTTATATAAAATGGGTAATTTTAGTTTTTTCAATTGAAATTGTGTAATAATCAGTTCAGAATAACTAAAGTTAAGAACTTTTTTGACTTAATTTGTCAGAATGAAGGCAATTTAAAATTTTGGGGAAATGGAAGTATGGTGGTATTATTTGAGGGAATAAGTAAAATTTTGATTTACATGTATAAGTCTTGTTGTTTTTACAAAGTTTATAATGTTGTGTATCTCATAAGTTCGGTACACGATATCGGAATAAAAAAGAAAAGAAAAACAACAAAGACAAAAAGATAAGTTCTGATTAAAAAATATAATATAAAAAGAGAGAGATTATACATATAAAAAAAAGATAAAATAAATAGGATAAAAAGAATACACACACATAGATAAAAGGCTAAAAACATAAGAAAGAAAAAGAAGATAAGGGGAAAATGATAAATGATTACTCCGCCACACGAATACACTCCATCCATTTTGCTCTTTTCAAAGTGATATGTACTTTCTTCTAACTCAAGAAAAAACATATCACTTCTGACTCGTCTAATCCACATCTCTAATCCACGTTTGTTTCTGTCTTTCTCTCCCTCTCTTCATTGCCTCATCTCCACACCTCTCATCTTGTCTGACATGTGCATCACTCGATCTTCTAAACACATCGTCAAATAACTGCAAGCAAGGTTCCTTCATCTTATCTTCAATGGGTCACATTTTTCAAGCGGTCCTTTCTGATATGTCCGCACTTCCGATGCAGCATGTGTATCTCTTTCACACTCATCTTTTGAATGTGACATTTTTCACTATCCAACTGTATACGCCATACAATAATGGTGGTCTAATTGCTCTCCTATTAATAACCTTAATACTAGTTGGCATACCTCGATCACATACAAATTCTGGCGCACTCTTCTGTTTCATCTAACGTGCTCTGATTCTATGGATACATATTCATCTAATTCACCATCATTCTGAATTGACTTTGTACATTCATCTGTCACTACGGAAAACAAGAAAGGGCTCAGAGCTAACCTTAGTGCACTTCGATAGTAATATGGAACTCTCTATTCCTCCCTACAGTAGCACAAACACTTGTAGTACAAATTCCATACATATTTATGATGATGTTGATATACTTCCACAAAAATGCCTATTCTAGTTAAGACCCACCAAAGAACATTCGAGGTACCCAATCATATGATTTTTCTACTCAATGAACTCTTCTCAGGTATTTACATGGCTTCAGTATCGCGGATAACGATAATTGGCATCGACAGATATCACCAGAATAGATGTAGGCATCAAGTAGGCAATAACACAAAGGTTACGAGAGAAACATTACATGAATCTTATTGTGATTATAGTCATTAATTGTATCAGTTAACTCTCCCAATTGCATAATGATATATATACTATGCCTATAAATATTTCTTGTAAATAACCTATTGGGGGGGTTCCCCTAGATAGTAATATTGCCCTACACTGCCAAATTATTTACTTCCTTACGCATGATAGATTAGCTCTTGCAGTTGAAAGTTACTTTAGATACTCTATCATTAACTAACTAGTCTATTAAACTTTAAAGACAAGCAACATAAAGTCATAAACACAAATATATTTATAAACACATATACTCCCTCTGTCCCATTTAAAGGTTCTCATCTAGTATTCTCTGGTCAACGTGCATTGTTCTTAATCTTTTACTTTATATATCCAATCTTTTACTTTATATATCCAATTTTTATCAAATTTAATTTTTTTATCAGGTATTATAGAACTTTTAATGTAGTTTCTGAATATGTAAATTTTATTTTCTAAAAATAATTATACTAAAGACAGAGATTAGTTAACTTTATGGTCAGTCAAACATCATAAACCGCGTCAGAACCTTTAAATGGGACGGAGGGAGTATGAACTAATTTTCGTCATTATCTCAAACACAAATTAAATAGAATAAGTTAAAGGATGTAATATTGAATATATCAATATAATGGGTACAACGTACAAGATAAATAACACAAAAGGTTCAATTTTATTTGAAAATAAAAAGAATTGTTACCTTAAACCGATTGAACATGGTGAAGTAAAATTTGTAGAGAAAAAATGATAGATGGGATGTGTTGGCGTGTGAAAAATTAATACTACGTACGTATTAGCATATTTTTAACTTTAGTGACGGAATTTTGTGACGGATATTTTCGTTGCTGTTTTGTGGCGACTTCTTCACCACTAAATGGCGCCTCTAATTTGTGTCGGAATGGTGTTCGTCAAAAATATCTGCCAAGAAACGGTGACGGAACTAATCCGCCAACAACCTGCGACGAATGTCAATCCGACACTAATTTCCGCCAAAGATTCCCGGCAAACACATATCCGCCACTAAAATCCGTCATAAAAATCCGAATTTCTTGTAGTTAGAATGAGAAGAATTTAACAATATTGTTTAAAAATTAAATTCGTAATACATTAATAAATAAACTATAGTCAAAGTAGAATGTGTGATTAGTGCAAAAAGTCCTACGTTGCAATTAAAAGAGAACGGAGGTAGTGTGTGAGGTTCACAGATAAAAAAAATCTTTCACAAAAATGGTGGGTATAAGCAAGGGTTTGAGTAGATCAGCGTCGCCTCCGACGCTTTGATCCAGCAGCTTTGAACAGTGTTATCGGAGCTTGAGGATAGAAGGTGCGTGGAGTACAGGTCACGCAGGAGGCAGACATATATGCCTAGCAAATTCCGGCTAGGGAGAGTTTGTGGAATCGGCGCTTGATAAAATTACAGCAAAAAACTCTTCATGAAATCAATTTTCTTTCCTCGCAAAAAACATTTATACATAATAAAACATTGATAAAAGTTGTATTGAATCACGAAATAAAATAAATTACTTCTCCCTTCATTCCACAAAACTTGGTCATACTAAATATGTTTAGTCAATGATGATCAAGTTTGACTTATACGGAGTATCATTTTTTGTAAGAATCATTAAAATATGAAAGTTATATTCCATATCAAAATGTTTTTTTTTTTGTTAAAATACTTACAAAAACATATAAAAGTTACAATTTTCACCTAAATATATTAACTAAAATCATGGTCCAAAACTTATTACTCCATATCAGACCAGTAAAAATCAAATTTGACAAAGTGTTGTTATGGGACATAGAGATTATACGATAAAACTTAGGGGTATATATATATATATACTAGTGTGGTAGCGCGCGTTGCGCGCTATTAGTGCCCGATGTTAAGGGATAGTTGAAAAAATTGAGGTAAAAACGTTTAAAATTTAAAGAGAAGGCAACTGATGGAAATGAGTACACCTTTAATTAAGATTTGGCAGAAGTAAAATAAAGGGAACAAGTTTTTAATCTCTGAAGAGGGTGGCCTTCACCAACAAAAGCAAGACAAAATAAGTAACCAAATACAGCAAGAGTTTAAACTATTGATTAATTTAAGGATGGACAAAAGGGTTGACGCATGCGGAAGAGCTGATATCATAGGTGTATCCTTTGCTGGGTGGGTCTTCCACATGACACTGTGACAAGACAAGCAGGCGTGTTGTGCCCTCGTTGTATTTGAAGAATGCTAGGATGGATTGCCGGTTGAGTTGAAAAGTCTGGTGCACCTGGTGCAGAAATGATTCTTTGCCAATCACCATATACGCGTCATCCCTTCCGTAGTGGATTATCAAGCGGCCTTTCTTGGTACTGCATTGGCGCAGGAAGGCTTCACAGGTTTGCTGTGTGGAAGATGAAATTCTATTTAGTCAGAAAGGCAGCAAGTAAAAAAACGTAATGAGGTACATTAACAATGGCTAAACAAACCAATACCCGTGCAGTTTGTCTTGGCACATACAGAAACGAAGGGGGTTCATACATGTGCCTATATGAGCAGTCTGGTAGACATGATTCAACGACCATGAAGAATGGATCTGTAATGGACAACAAACACGTGAAGTCCTTATTCAATTCATAATAATATACATCATTCGTGAGTCTCCTGGCAATGTAAACAGAGTATGTAGCTACATAAATATCACAAACATGTTACATGAAAACCTGAACTACCTGGAGGGGTTCTGTCCATGATTGACCGGTAAGGGTTGCCAGCGAGGTTCAAAGAAAAGCCTTCCATATCAAACGTGAGGACCTCGAATGCGAAGTTGCCAACGTGTCTCAAAAGAAGATGGGAACCAAATGGGACGTTGTTGTCCATGATGAATTCAACAAACCCAGATGTAAAAGCGAAATTTTCCACTTTCACTATCCAGGACTTGGGGCCATGAAGAAAATTACCATACTGGTGGGTGTGTTCGAACAAGTGTCTGCGCATACATGGAGGAATTTTCTGCACAACAAAACCACAAAGCAAGGGTAGAGTGATGCCGGAAATGGTAAAAAAAATAATAATTCAAGATGAGTGATGCAGTTAGGAGTGGTGTACACAAAGTTCAATATCAGTAACAGCAAGGAGAAACCAAACAACAGCAAACTGCAGCACGTCTGGGTAATGAATAGAATCAGTTCGCGGACACGCTGTGGAAAACATCACAATGCACCAACATGAAAAAGGATAATGTTGTTAAAGTGTGTGACCAATATAGGAGGCTAGGGGAGGGGGGGGGGTTATTCGGAGATTAGGTTACCTGCAAGTTGGGGCATCAATGCAGCGTGGTGGCTATAATGATTTAGTTTGTGTTTCAGTTCCGCCTCGCCCCTAAATCTCTTTGGTAGCAACCTGTAGTAACCAGTGACCTCCAAAAATTGCCGCCAGTCCAGGTTCGTGATGAAGCCAGTTTGGGTGCCATCACGAGGAGTTATGAGAGCAACCGCAATACGCCTGCCTGCCATGGACTGTGTGTATGTAGTATGTTTGCCCATCATTGCTTGTAGGGGTTTTTGTTGGTTCAAGAGTGTAATGGGTGAACAAATCCATTGCACCTGTGAATACAAAACGAAAGTGATCGTCAGGACATGCTCAATAAAGAATAAATAGAGGGAAAAGGAAAAAACAGGAACAGTCAAAGCAACCTATGAAAAGGATGAGTGGTGAGTGGGGGCGTGACGAAAGGGCATACCTGTGGAGGGCAAACGTTGACGCGTAAACCAGGAAAGAAGAGGATATGGATGGCGTCCTCGGTGGGTGAGAGAAGGAAGCAATGAACCTGGAAGTGTGCCATGCAAAGGTTTTGTGCGACGAAGAGGCGCCAGGGGTGTGAGTGGGCGGTTGAGTTCTACGAGTGGCTGGATTAAGAGGCGCAATTATGGGCCAGTGAGATGCGTGCATTTTAAATTAAAGTAGGGAAAAAGAAGGTCATGACGTTTAATACACGTTGAGTAATAATAGATCCAATGGTTCTAATTTGTTTTTACAATTGTATAAAAACAGAATACACCCCTCCCCACCTCAAAAAATACAATTCTGGGTGTTGGGTTTTTAAAAAAGCAAAACAAAATGGAAAAAGAAGAAGATTAACAATATCGAACGTTTTATGAAGTACTGTAAGAGTAATATAACATGTCATGCAAAATATGCAACCATTTCCTCCAAAATAAATAAAAAACAATTTGCTAACAACAAGAATCCTTTTGCTAAAAATAATAGGCTTTTTTGTAAGAGGAACAAAATATGAAGGTAAAAACAGATAACCTCCACAATCTGTTTCCCATTTGATCTTCTCCATGTGCTTGTTCAAAAGACTTTCCTTCTTTATGTCCTTCTCATCATTTCTTAGCTAAAGAAAATAATGCAAAATGTTGGAAATCATGATAAAAAATAAAACAATAAGGCGGGTAGTGACAAAAATATTGCAACACTATTCTTTTGCTTCACTTCTTTGTCCCATGTTGTGTGTTACTGTTTCATCTAAAACATTAGAAAGGTTATCTGAAGTTTTTATTGATGGAACACACTATTATCGCTAAGTAGAGTCCAATTGGCTGACAAAAAAAAATTAGAAGCTATGGAAGCAATACTTTAATAGTTTAAAGGGTTGCTTTATTTCTTTCCTGTTATGTTATGAATAGTTTTAGACTATTCCAAAACACTGTGACTCATTTATTTTGTAGTATATGTTGTTTAGCTTTTTATCTATGAGGTGAAACATTGTAATATTAAATTGTTTTCCCAATTTTTCTTATTATGAAAGCAATACTCAATATTTTCAGTACACTTTTAAAAAAGTGAGAAAGCCCTTACTGTTATACATAATATTTTTCCTTCAGTTCTGTTAAGTCCACGTTATGGTTTGTGGATAAAACATAACTCACATTAATCATATATACAGGGGGTTGCGCGAGTATTCATGCCCAACGCGCAAAATTAAAGGGAAAAACACGACACGATATGTACATAACCATAAGAGTTGATTGGTATGACCTCGACATCATTTGTATGACCTCGACATCAACTGGTATCAGCTCGGTATCATTGGTATGAGCTCGACATAATTGGTGGCGGAAGCCTGGGAAATGCTTGATTCTAAAAAACGGCTAAGTCCACTTATTGCAGACCCCGATTATGTACACTACAAGAAAAATAGCTTTTAGGGACCAACTATTTGCGACTAACACCAAATTTGATCGCAATAGAGACAGTAATAGGCACTATTATTTTATCTTGTCGCAAAAGTTTAAAAAATTGATTATTTTGGCGACGTTCTTATTATCTCTTCCCTATTACTCTCACACCCGGTCGCTAAAGCATCTAGCTGTGGCGCCACTTAAAAATACGGAGTACGAATAATTGCTTCCGGGTACATTTTCACCCTTTATTCTTAATTAATTAATTAAATAAAATTCGAGACCCCCCAAGTCCTAAAACGTACTCAGCGTCTGACCTCGCCGACCGCAGACCGGATCTGGAATCAATGAGGCGAAATCTTCTCAAGAAACAATAGCGGACCAAAGACTTCTCCTACTCATCGGCGGAGCGCTGCTGGCAGATTCGAACTGCAAAGGATCTAAGTCGCGATTCGGTGTGGAGAGGCTGGGCAACGAGCGTCTCGATGACTAGCAGAGTCATATTCGCTGCAGCGCATCAATGGAGGGACATGTGTACCCATCCAACTTTAGACCTAGGAGAACAACGAATTGCACCTGCAATCGAAAACCCTTGCCGCTGCTCCAAATCCAATTCCCCGGCCCGCTAACCCTCTGTTTTATCTTTCTGCGATGGTAGCAGATTCGTAAGGCCTTTGTTAGTACTCTGCGAGCTAGGGAAAGAACTGGAAGCTGTGGTCGGACGGAATATCGATCAGAAGAAGATTAGGTTCGTTATGCTTTCCACGATTTGTGTGTCTGGGGAAGAATCGAAGCCAGCGTTTCCAGAAATTTGTTTGTCAGTCGAAGAAGACTGCACGAATTGTCTAGGTTGATTCTTTTTTACTTCATTCCATAGCAATAATGTGTTACATATGGTTAAACCATACTTGATGTGCAAAAACTTGATCGTTAGTTTCGGAATGTTTATTAATGGAAGTTTCTTTAATTGAGATTTTGCTGTTTTTCTGTCTTTCAGGCTTCAGCCTAGGGCTTTCTGCTTCTCTGTTTTTTTTGTTTGTTTTAGAAGCTCTGTAATAGATTGCTCTTTCCCCCTTATCTACATTGTTATGTTGTTTTTTAATTTGGGCTGACTTATTTGCTGTGGTTTGTTCATTTCTTGGAGATGCTTCCTTTGTTGGTTTTGGTTGTTTGATGCAGCTACTTGTTGAACTGTGAGTATTGTCTATGCTCAAAACTAGAAACATTGTTTGATTACTAATTTGGTGTTAGTTGATATTATAAAATGGGAAATGAAATTGTTATTAGTCTGTTAAGATTTACAGTTTTCTAGAGTCAAATAAGATTAAAGTGACTTTCTACCTTTTTAAACCTAGAAATATTTTAATCTGCTATGCATACACACTCTTTTCCTACCTTATTAGTTTTAATTCCATAGGTTGTGTGTTGAAGTAATGCTTAGTCCTTATTAATTTTTGGGTGTTTTTTCTTTTCCTTTTGGGAGTTGTCTTGAATACCTCTTGTGATCTTCTTCCCGTTTTAGCCTTTTGGAATTATAAAAAATGATGGCATACTAGATATATATATCCTAATCTATATATTGATAATTTAGTTTATCTATTTCCTATATTGGAAGTTAAGGTCATATAAGTTAGGGCCATATGAGTTGGGATTAGGGAACTGTAGTTCTTTTCGATCGTTACTTTGAGGTGGAAGTGTACGTTTTAAAGATTCAATTACGCTTTTCTACTAGATACTTCTACGCTTCAGGCTACGAGCTTCAGGTAAAATTCTCACTATTGAACTTCCTTGTTTTAATTATTTAATTGTTTACTTGTTCAGGCCTTTAGGACTTTAGGTTGTGCCTTAATGGTTGAGGTTAACTTGTTTGAGTTATACTCCTTATAATTTTCTGATTTTGATGTTTTAGTATTTAAAAATCGTATACCGATTTAACAGTCTTTATTTAGTTGTTTATTAATATTACTATCTGCCTATCTACTTGTTTACTTGTATGAGGTTGTAATATCTATCAACTTATATTACAATGTATTTATGAGTTTATAATTTTTTAATTTGTAGGTTACATATATATCTATAAAACTCAATTGCCTTCCGTACTGAAGTATTTGAAGTTTTATATGATGTTTTGTAGATGTGGCTGCTACTTTTTTGTGAAACTTGCAAGAAAAAGAATCATGTGAAGGAACTGGAAGCACTTCAAAAACATGTGAGTACATGGTTTTAATGTTGTGTTTTTCTTGGTAATTACCTCTTGCCATTTAGGGGGAAACACATGAACTAGTTCAATCAGATCCAACAGTACCACATGTTGATGTAATTAAGAAGTATTTTGGATGATAACAACATAGTCATGTTGGTTTTACAGGTAGAATGAATTACAAATATTTAAAGGGATCATCTTATGAAGAGAGAGCTTGATGATGAAGATTAAAATCAATGCTTGAAAAGTCATCTAAATGCATTAGAAGATAATGTCCAAAAGATGCAAGGGATTCTTCAAAGTCAAGGATACAAAAATCAAGCCTGAGAATCTAGATATATTTTGTAGCTTAGCAATCTGTATGAGGCATAGCAGTTAGTTTAAATTGTTTAATTTGTTTTGAACGGAAACTGAATAATTATTATAATTACACAATTCTATGTTTAGATAATCAATTTTGCAGAAGTAATTAGTATATTTTAATGTCAGTCACGTATATATATTGTTGCAAATTGTTCAATGAAGTGGTGTTAATTTATATATAGTGATATATATCCTGTTATTTTAGCGAAGGGATAATGGTCGCAACTAATCATAAAAATTAGTCCTTAATAACATCATTAGCGACCATATTATATGTGGTCTCAAATTGTTTTAGCGACCAATCTTTTTTTATGGTCGCAAAAGACCTTTTGCGGCCAAGCTAATAGGGACTAACTCGCGACCACAAAATGTGGTCGCAAATAATCATTAGCGACTGTTTATTATGCTTTTGCGACCATTTTTCCCTTCGCTAATAACCCTTTTTCTAGTAGTGGTAATTACTGAGCCAAGCCTTTTGGAGACCTCGGGGAGGTTGAGGTTAAGGTCAAAATTCACTTTATCCAGGTGATTCTTGAACTATGTATTTTGAATACCTCGATGAGGTCGAGGTCAGCATAAGGTTTCATCCTATCCAGTTGATTCTTGAGCTCAAGTAAATTGGAGACC